CTACCATCTGTAGAAATCCATATCCTGTGTTTAACAGGCTTTTCCTCTGTAGAAGTGCAGCTGTACCTCCATGGCTTGGATTCTTTCTGGGCTTCCAGCGATTTAGCTGGTGATTGTGTTTCATTTACCTTGTTACATGGCTGTCACTGTGATCATGCAGTTCTTTCACGGAGCACTACTCCTTTCTGGAAATTTCTCATTTCTTTCAGGCTCAAACTTGACCTTTTCCTAACATTAGAAACTAGTTTACCTACAATGTCTAGTTAAAATTTCCAGAAAAGATTCTCCAACATGATGTAACATTCCCTGGATAGTGCTAGAAATCCAAATCACTGAGCCAATCAATACATGTGAAATTCATAGAAACTAGTACAATTTATAAAGCAGAATTTTCCTCTATGCTGAATTATATACTTCACATATTATTAATCCAGTATTTACATAGAGGCTACATTTAACTCAATCCTTTACTAAATAGCCTTACTGGAGTCACAAATACGGAATTTAAAGTACACAAGCAACCATTCTCTTTTAATAGAGTGTGTGTGCAAACACAATCCATACTAAATTGATAAGTTAATCTTAAATTAAGCCATTTTAGTGAGAAGCCATCATCAACTGATACTGAAGCTATCCTTGTTATGTATTGTTCCAAATATCAGACAATCACCATGTTAGCATTAGATGAGTGTCATAAATCAATGTGAACCTTAAAAGGCCCAAGAAATCAAAGACAAGTATAGGCTGAAACTAAATTCTTAAACAAGGCTCAGAAGCATGAGTGCATAGAAGATAAAAATCCATGTTTTAGACCATTCACTTCAATGCCTTCCTAAAAACATTAATTATGCTTTGTAAAAACTGTAATCCTCTGAAAAAAACAGTCCCTAAATACTACATATACATCACCTGAGTTTTAAACCAATGACTCTCAGTCACTGTTGAACATTTGAATCAGTCAGCTTTAAAAAATACCACTGACATGATCCACTCCCAGAGATTCTGATTTCACTGCTCCGACACAGGGCCCTGGCAATGATCTTTTTTAACAGCCTCTGGTGATTCTAATATGTGGCCAGGTGAAGAACAATAACTATAAACTAATGCAGCCTTTTGGGACAATAATTGCTCCAAGGTTGATAAACATGGTTTAGCCTTTTAATGAGATTTTATTAAAACTACTCAATTCATTCCTCAGCTAACAAACAACTGTTAGGTTGCAGGCAGTGTGTTAAGTAATGGAGAAAGATGTGTGAGATCTGCTCCCTGCCCTCAAGAAGCTCCCTGTTTGCTAGGTAGAGAGACCCATAAATAAGTAACTGTAATTAAATATGATAAGTGCTCTTGAGGTGTAAGCAAATACAGCATGCCTCACAAACTTGCATGTCATCCTTGAGCAGGGGTCATGCTGCATCATTCCAATTTTAGTATATGTCCTACCAGAGCAGGAAAGTCAGAAGTTACAAATTACTAAATATCCTAAATACCAGGGCAAATATTCAGTCTACACAAGGTGTAAATAATGTGCATTTTGCTATTCTTTTTCACAGAAGCTGCTGCCCCAGAAAGTATTCATTTTTCTATATTTTATTTTGGATGAATCATCTTAAAATTTCCTTCATGTAATGTTAAGGATTGTGCACTTACCTACAAAACTATAAAATTTGCAAAAGCTACAGTAAATGATCATGACATAAAAATTAGACACTAAGCCAGATTTGCATAATACCTTTCTTTTCCAGTACTTGCTGCATGTGCAAAGAAAAAAAATTGGGGGACTATGATAAGGTACTATTATTGGAGATTTGTTTTAGTAACTTGAAAGATGCTACATGGAAAATGTTATGGAAACAACAGGCATTCAAAAGTGTTTCTGCAAGACTTCCAAAAATAAGAAACACAGGGGAAAGAATTTTTATTTTTTAAAAAGGAAATGGCATCCTCTCAATCTTTATAATGAATCAGATATACGGTTCCCTCAAAGACAGCTTTAATAAGCATAAAGGCCACAGCCACTAGAAAGAAAATATATTGCAAATAATGATCTTCTACTTTAAAACATTCTTAACTCAGGTTGTCCTTCTCGACTCAAGGAAAATACACACTAGGGTTTAAAATGGAACTTTCCTTTACACCATCAAGTAAAGCCTAGTACACAGTGGCTGAGTGGCTGAGTGAGTCGGTGGATGAGTAGGTAGGGGAGTGAGTGGGTGGCCAATTAGTTTTGAAAAGTGAAATCTATTTTAAAGTGCCTTAGTGAAAATTTAAACCTATTAAGACTTGGTGGTGAAAAGCAATTTGTGACACTAATTTGATATAAAAAAATCAAAATTCTATGGAATTTGGATAGAAATCAACAAAAAGGTTTTCAGTGCAAGTGAACATCTTCAAAGCATTTCTTTTTAAATCCATAATTGAACAAATTCTAAGTTAAAATGTATGCTGTCAAGGTCCCTGCTAGAAAAATCTCAAACGAATTTCAATTTCCAGATCAATATATACTGAGACAATTTACCGGAGAAACCTTCAACCTTTACACAGGGTAAGGACTGCTATCATTACATTCTTTAACACTAAGGCTATCTTGGATTCATTATTTCACAGAATGGCATTTCATAAATGGCACTGACCAAGTCTGAGTGAGATTTCACTGTTCACAGTAGTTAAGGTAGCCATAGAATACCTACTGCCTCAAAATTAGCTTGTTCTCCAGCTTTATGCAGCTGTGAAACAACAGAAGAATTGAATTCTACCGGGGGTGTTGCCTGAAAATATTCTATCAATTCTAAGTCAATAGAATACTGACTATATTAATGTGATGCTGACCACTTTGTAACATCCAAAGAGATCACACTGTCATCCTTCCAGACCTTAAGGAATCAGAACTACTTACCAAAATTGATTCAATGAGGCTATTCTTCATCATCCCAATATAATTAACATTTTAATCTCATATTTTCCAATTATGATTTTGCTGGTTCATTTATATCAGCTATAACTAAGACACAACAAACATCATTCACCCACACATACAGTTATTTGGGGATTTGGGGAAACACCTAATTTACCCTCACTGGGTGCTCCTAACAATAAAGAAATCAAGGAGAATTTGGACATAGTTTTCTCTCTAGAACTATGCCACTTACATGTGGCTATGGAGCACTTGAAATGTGGCTAGTCTGACTGAGGGACTGAATCTTAGATTTTATTTCATTTTAATTAAATTTAAATTTAAAAGGAAACAATTCAGTTACTGAAAAACTTTTAGGTATGTTTGAAACAACTTGGGTATGTGAATCTACTCTTGCACATGCAAATTTATGAAACCTAAACAGATCAAGTTATTTCTGATGAAAATTTAGCTTAGCATCTGAATTTGAGATGTGCTGCTAATATAAAATACACACTGGATTTCAAAGACTTAGTATGAAAGAATGTACAAACATCTCATTCATAATTTTTAATAGTTTGGATCTATTGGGTTAAATAAAAGATTTTATTAAAATTAATTGCACCTATTTATTTTTAATCATTTAATGTGGCAACTAGAAAATTTTAAATTAGCTATGTGGCTCTCATTATATATCTTCTGGACAGCGCTGCTCTGGAGCACTTCTACAACGACTTTACCAGACACATTTGGATATCCTCCTTCTAACAGACACGCTGGTCATTGAACAATAGGGGCAAGGAGTAACACGTCCTCGCAGCAACTGGGTCTGAGTAAAGTGTGTAGCAAGCTCAACCCACAATTTCACCATGTGAGGCAATACCGTAATACCTCAACATGGAAGAAAAAATGAGTTATCAGCACTCAAACAAATTGAAATTGAGTACTGCAGGCAACTTAAAAGAGAGCAAGCCAATTGCTCTAAGGTCTTGGTTTCGTTTCCCAACTGCGGACCTTAAAATAGACAATAAAGCACCGCTTCAAAAAACGAGGTAAAATATTCCAATGGTAGCTATCTAGCAAGCTCTATTAAATAAGCAAAAATTGCTGTTAAATCTTATCTCAACTTCTAAAGCCACAGAATACACGCTGAGCTAGGAAATCAACTTCAGATCGCCAGCATTTTCCCTCACAAGCAAATTAGCAGGATTTGTGCACTTGGAATATTGTTTGACAAGAATGAAAAGGAAACTATTCAAAACAGATTTAAGGAATGGACAATTAGATGAGGAACTGCAGATTTAATTCTCAATCAGCACTGTGATTAATCTGATTCCCTGCTTTTCCCTAGCGTAATTATACAACACAGATGAAAGGATGAGCATTTGGACTGTCAGTTCTATATTCTAGACCAGCCCGGTGACTCAAAGCAGACGGCTCTACCACGCTAACCACCATCCCAACAACAGTGGAACGGAGCCTCGAGCACTGATTGAACAGTTATTGCATAACGAGGCATTAAAAATTCGGGTGCCCCCAACTCTTTGCACATTCGTCTACACCCGGTGAGGAATTTGCTGAAACTGGACGTACCCCGTCTTAAATGACCCCCTCCAATCAGGGCATGGGGTGAACACAAAGGCATCTGTCTAATATCCTGCACAATAGACACACACCCCACAATTAAAAACCCTGGACGCTCTTTCTCTCTCTCTCTCAACACAGTAAACGAAATGCAAGCTGCTCTTTTCGTAAATGGTCTATGGTACACGCAAGGTAACAATAACCCCAACTGTTCCTAGGAAGCAACTATAAAATCGGTTCTGCCACGTCCCTGTGCAACCGTCAGATAAAATGCAGGCAGCCAGCCCCACGCCTTATGGGGGGCCGACCTCGGCTCGTTGGCCTCAACCGATCCCTGAGAACCCCCCAGACCCCCTCCTAGGAGGAGATCCAGGTACCCGTCTATAAATACTCCAGGGTGAGGAGGATGAGGGAGGCAGAGGGGAGGGAGAGAGGGCAGGGGGCAGGCCCGGAGCGGGTGAGGGAGCTCCCGGGCATCACTGAAATGCATTTTTCCACACTCCCGCTCCCTCGCTTGGAGACTTACTTGCCGATCACCTCGCACAGCTCGTACACATCCTCGAACAGCACGTCGTCGTCGGCCATGGTCCGGAGAGGACAGCGGCCGCAGCGTGGAGGGCTCCGAAAACGGGGATGGGGGCGCCCAAGAGCTCAGTGCCCGGCCCCGGGCTCGCCTCCTCCCTTCAGGACCCGCGAGCCCTCGGTGCTGAGAACGCTTGAGTGGGGCCGCGAGGCCCGGAGACTGCAGCGCCTTCCTCTGCGGGCGACCGCCCCGGCGCGGGCGGCGGGGCCGGGGCGTGGGAGCGAGGGCGGCCCGGGCCCTGCGCCGCCCGCCCGCCCGCTGCTCCTCGCGCTGCTCGGGCCGCGCTGCCCGGCGTGCGGACCCTCGGGGACCGCGCGGCGCCGCGCTCTCTGCTCGTCAGCCCGCGCGGGCCGCGAGGCCGCGACCGCTCCCTCTGCCCGAGGCCGGCTCCGGAGCGGCGCGGGGCAGCTTGGGCTACAGGGGGGGCCGCGGCAGGACCATGGAGGGAGGATCACCACGGAGGGAGGTGGCGGCAGATCGGCGCTGGGGACCAGGAGGCGGCGGCAGAGACGCTCCCTCCTCTTTCTCCTCCTCCCGCCGCCGCCGCCGCCCGCCCGGGAGTGGGAGGGGGATTCGCTGGACGAAAGCTCAGTGCGGGCGGGAGCCGAAGCCGCTGTCTTCAGCTCCTCCCCTCAGCCTCAGCAGCCGCCCGGCTCGCGAAACCTCGCGCATACGCGCCCTCCTCCCACTTCGATCCGCGCGCTGCCAGATCCACAGGCCCCGCCCATTCCAGCCCGTCGGGAGGCGGTGGCCCAGGGAAAGGGGGAAATCGGGCCAAGCTGCGCATGCGTGCAACGCCGGCCACGTCACGGTGAACCGGCGGGCGCCGGGAATCTAGAGGGCGCAGGGGGTTGGCAAGTGGGGCGCGCGGGCTGCAGCTGCTGAGGCAGGGCTGGTCTGGGTCGTCGCCTCCACGCCCAGCAGCGACCTAGGGGCTGGGAATGCGGGGTCCACGGACGCACGTTCTTTGGCGAGATGCTCGCAACTGCGGACGCTCTCCACCTTTTTTTTTTTTTTTTTTTTTTTTTTTTTGCAATCGCAGGAAGCTTTTCTCAGTTTTTGCTGGGAAAAAAAGGCAAGGAAAGGATGCTAATGAATGGGAAAGCAAGAAAAGAGGTGGGGAGAGGTTGTCACTCATGACCGTGCTTGGCAGTGGATGCTTTCAGTGCCACACTGTCATTCCAATGAAGATGAGGGCTGGGGGTGGAAGACTGTCCAAGAAAAAGACCAAACAAAAACTGTCTAGGAAGGCGTGCAACAACAAACAGTAACCTAGAGAGACAGCTTCTCCCGCTTCTGCCCTAAACTCAGCAAACATCTATGCAGCGCCTCCCTCACTAGAGACAACCTGGAGAGAAGAAAGTAAGGTAGTGACACAAGGAGACTTTAAGCCCTGTTGTACATTGTCCCCAAACACCCAACACTTACTCTGTTCTCTATACTCCCTACGAATGTTAGATTTGTCAGGGTAAAAATGCAACTAGAGGGAGTAGATGCACAGGGTCAGGCAGGGTGTAAGGTTGTGGGTGTTGCCGCCGTGCTAGGTTGCATTCAATATGAAGATTTTTCTTCAACTGAGCATGTGCAGAATGAGCCAACGCCAACGGACAGGTATATGCCTCAGTTGAAGACCAATAAAAAAGTCTTTGTTCCTCGGCAGAGCCAAAGTGCCCAATTAGTTCATAAGTCAGCTTCCAGAAATCATCTGGTAAAATTCTCAGTGTGATAATATTTTTAAACTAGTATTTACCAAAGTGGATGAGGAGACTCAGAGCCTATTTCTTCTTCAGAAATGTTCCCTGCAAAACCCTTGTCACTTCCTCAAGAGGCTGAGAGATTTGGTAAGGATTTGGGCACTAAAACTTTTTTAAAAATGCAAATCAGAGGAAAATATAATTGCCCAAGATTTTTCTCCTATTCAAAAAGCCTGTGCATTCTCTAGAGAAGGGAGCTTTGGAACCTGAGAAATACCACCTCCTGTGGGGGTCCAACCATTCAAATCATTCACCCCAAGGTGGCATGTCCACCATACACCTAATGAATAAGGCATCACTCCCTTCTGCCCTGAAGTGCCCAGTGATCCTCACAAGCCACCATGTTAGCTTCATTTCCTTTCCCCAGCCCAAGCCTAAGCTATGTTAAGGGTTGTCTTTTTCATTTTGAGCTTTATCTTTCACAGGGACCTATGCTCAGAGGTAGAAAAGGAAAATTACAAAGTAAAGCAGAAAAAAAGTGGAGACAAAAAAAAAAGGCAACTGCAAAGATAGGTATGCACTCTGCTAATAGTATCACAGCTGGTTTAGATCTGGACAGAGTCTCACGGGGTCAGCTTTTCCAACTCCCTTATTTACAGATAGGGAGGATGTATTGTTCTCTCTTCCAAGAGCCATCCCACCCCTCTACTATTGGCTAACACTATTGGCTAGCTCCAGGGTTGACTGTGGGTGTGTAAACATCTTCACTGGAGAGGTATTCCCTGATTCATTAAACTAATAAATGCAGTCCCCTTGCCACAGTAATTGCCATAACTTAATCAGGTCTTGGCATTCCCTCCTTGTGAATGCCTCCAGTCAAGGTCTTCCGATCAGCACAAAGGTCAGGACTTGCTCCCCTAATCTGATCTTAGATCTCTCAGCTCCTAGTGTGGTATTTAGTCATACAGAAGGTTCTCTGCAATACACATCCCTCAGAACTTGTACCCAAGATAAAGGCTAGTGAAAGTGCCTGTTTCTAGGACTAAAATAACCAACCTTTTAAATGAAATTAATTCTTTTCTAGATTTCTTCCCCAAATCCAATATTCTTCCCCAAGTATAATTGGTCAGGTGTCAAGAATTTAGTTCTGTTTGTTTAAGTTTCCACAAAGGAAGCATTAAAGTACTTTTTTGCAATAATTTGTGTTTAGAAACAAATAGTGGAATAATCACCTAATAGTAGTTTCAGTGGTGATATCTTTTCCATGTAGCAAGGAATCTGGAGATGGAGGTTACTGACATTGGATCACCTACTCAACAGTGTCCTCAGTGACCTAAAGTTTGTCCTTTCTACTCTGCCATCCTTGATTTGTGTTATGGTTTGGATCTGGAGTGTCCCCAAAAGCTCATGTGTTGTGAGCATGGTCCCCAATAAGGCAAGTTTCAGAATTGCAGCTTTTAGGCAATGATTAGAGTTTTGTCCTCATCAGTGGATTAATCCATTTCCTAATAAGGATATCCTGATATTAATTCATATGCTGAAATCCATTTGCTGATATTTTAGCTGAACGGACTACTAGGAGGTGGGAAAGTAGGTCCTGGGTGACATGGCCTCTGTCTATATCTTGTTCCTGGTCCCTTCCCCTCCCCTTTCTCTTTGTTTCTCACTCTTCCTGCTTCTTGGATTCCCTCTCCCATGCCATTATGCCATGAGGTTCTGCCTCACATCAGGCCCAAAGCAATGGAGTTGACTGACTGTGAACTGAGACCTCTAAGATTGTGAGCTAAAGTTGTTTTTGTCAGGTATTTTGGTCACAGTGATGAAAAGCTGACTAACACAATATGTCAGCATCTCCTCAGGCCTGTTGCCTCATTGTTGCAAGATGGCTGCTGCAATTTCAAACATCAAAGGCAGGAAATAGGAAGGCAATAAGGGCAGGTGAGTCCTTTTTGTTCCCTCTCTCATTTCCTATTATAGAATGAATATGTGTGTGTGTGTGTATGTATGTATATATATATATTTGATGTTTGCTGCGTCCTCTTTGGAGGTGGTCAAGAGAAAAGTAGGTGGAAAAAGGACTTCAGCAGCCAATCAGCAGTATTTCTAATGTGGAAAAATTACTAAGGAAGCAATTCTATATCTTCATCCTAGAGTAAATATAGTACACCTCTATGTGTAACTGATAGGCCTTAAAGTTTTTGGAAACATTTAGAAATCCACAAAGAAGGAGTTAGTGCTACACAAATTTGATTCTCAGATGTCAGTTAGCGCAAATCTTCAATGACTTTGAGATATTGGGCTTCCTTATGATTGTATTAGACATTCTCAGGTTGCCAGACTCCCATGAATTTCAGCATGACACAAATACAGCAGGGGAAAACACTCAAGAGAAATATTAACATAAGAGCCACACAGAAGTCAGCCTAGCACAGGGCTAATTTAGGCAATTTAGAGTTCAGCCTCTCTCTATAGTATGATTGTTTAAGCGTATAAATTATTACTGAATTAATGAATAAAATTAAGAAGGATACTATTCTCAAATGGAATAAATAAAATTATTGTCTCATGGTATAAGAAGGTCATTTTAAGCTCAAATGAAATACACTATCCATCTCTCCAGAAAGTTCCATACATTGCACTTATACTCTAATGCCTTGTTGCAAATTCCATATTTTATATTTACTTAATGACTATCTATACTAGTCTCTGGAGCTACAGCTGCAAGTAAGGCAGTCATGGTCCCTGCCTGCTTTAAGTTTCCTTTGAAAAGTAAACAAGGATCTGGCAAGTAATACAATGAAGATTGATAGTCACTAAGGTTTACAAAGTTTGGGGGAGCAGATAGGGAGAGGATCTATGGGTTAGGGGAGGCCCAACTGAAGAAATGGTAAAATCAAGACTAAAAAATGTATAGAAGTTATCCAGGTGAAAGGAGTGAGGGACAGTTAATTCCAGGTAGAACAGCATTTGTGACCTCTTGGAGGTGACCAAGAATATACCCCTTTGGAAGATGAACATGATGTTTTGGAGACCTAGATCATAACCAAAATCCTAGAGTATAGAGAAAGAGGCCAGAGTATAGAAAGAAGTAGGCAAGAGCCAGATAGTAAAAGATGTCAAATGTCATGTTAAAGAGTTCTCCCACTGAAAGACTTTCAATTTCAATGGCACTTCAGTCTTATGTGTTAGACTGGGTCCTCACAACCCCAGGCATGAATAGAATTTTATTTTTAAGTAATTCTTTCCTTGTGCTTGGTGCACAGTGTCCTCTCTATTAAATTAAAAAATGCAGATACTCCTATAGTAAATATGAAATTCTTTAAATGATTTTAGCAGACACTATAGGTACTTTGTTTAAACCCCCTCTGGTCCTTGTGTGCCCCACCCCAGCCTCAGCCTATTTTGCTTCCAAAGTCCATGCCATGACTTCAGAGAACTTCCCAAAAGCTACACGAATTGTTTCGCAACATGAAAGTGCCTGGGAGTTTCAGTCTCCC